CGAAGGGGAGGTGGGTTGGTGTCACCTCATACCCCTCTGGCTCCCATCTTCCATAATCCTAATTTCCCCCCGCATTGTCCTCTCTTCATTTAGTCATTGTCCTCTCTTCACCTGCTGCTGTGGTCTAGGGACATGCTGAGCATGTCATATCTGGTCATTCCAGCTGTTATAATAAATGAAATGGACATACAATGGGACCTCCAGTCAGCAAATATGTATTTTTCAGGAGAATAAGCTGTGTAGGAGTCTTACTCCACAATTCCAGATTGTTATTGCTGTTTTAAATTCTAAGTTGTGGTTGACAGACATTACCTTTCAGTTTTTACTATGTGCACACACACATGTTAGCTTAATTATCCATATTAATTAAGGCTCGTAATCAAGAAACACAGGGATGCCACTAAATATTTTTCTTCCTTAAAATAATATTAAACCCACTGTTACTTATTCTTCTTTCTAAAAAATGTCCCTTTTCATCTGCATTTGGCTGGTCCCAATCCACTTCTCTCTTCAGTTCAGTTAAAGTGACACTAAACTCGGTCGTTTAATCTTAAAAATGCATTCAAGCACCCTACCTATTAACATAAATGTAACTTATTTGTGTATCACTCAGCTGTAGATCCTCAAATCATCTCTGGATTGGTGCTGACACAGTCCTTCCTTCTGGAGGGTGGCTACTTTTGTTCCCCATGTTCCCTGTGTATGTTATAGAGTAGCCACCGCTCCAAGCTCACTCACGTGAGAGACTATGATTTTAATACAAATTAGGAAACTCAAAGCGACATTGTAGTGCATCACGGGAGCAAGCTTGGAGTGCTGGCTACTTTACAACACACACAGGGACCATGGGAACAAAAGTAGCCCCCCTCCAGAAGGAAGGACAGTCTCGGCACCAATTCAGAGATGATTTGAGGATCTGCAGTCAAGTGATACACAAATAAGCTACATTTTTGTTAATAGTTAGGGTACTTGAATGTATTTTGAAAGTTCTGCGTTTAGTGTCACTTTAACCTTTGAAAATGAAAGCTATATGCTGATGAGTTGCCATGGGCAAATACTCCAGGCGGTCTGCTCCAGTTTTAATAAATTGAAAAAAAAATGATTTGCAATAGATGTTATTGAGGTGAGCAAAAGAGGTACTGGTGTGGGTGTTCCATGTCCAAGTCTTACTTTTCCTAAAGAGCACAACCATGATTTATGTTGTTAAGTGCAAATATGTGGTTTGATCAGTTGAAAGCTGGCTTTGGGTATTAAATTAATAATAAAAGCCGCGCTGTGTGAATAAATCTGCAAAGTATCAGATATAATAGTTACTGGCCGTGAAACAATGTGATGCAATGTGAAAAGAGTAACAATGGAAGAAAGGCATGTGTATAACATGCACCTCAGTGCAAATATGTTGCTACAAAATATCCATTAAAAAAATCAAATACAATAGATACTAGCCGTGAAAGACTGTGATGCAATGTGAAAAGAATAACTAGAAAAAACGCATGTGTATAACATGCACCTCAATGCAAATAATATATGGCTACAAAATTGTCCATAATCCTGGATCTTCAACAGTCCATTAAGAAAATAGAAGATATAAAAGTGGATTTAAAGTAATCTCAGTATCCTGTGACCATCAACAGAGACATCTTATGGAATGCACCTGAACTTTAGCAGAGACCCACCAGGGTCTGTTTGCGCTGTTCCTCTAATTCAAACCAGGTAGAGGAAGCACCTGATGCCGGACACCCCCCAGTGATTTCCTCCTCTCAGGTACAGACTCCTATTGCAGCCTCAGGAGTTGAAAGCGGTCAATTTATCCAAATGGCCCATGCATCAAACAAAAAGTGGAGACTCGTAGTGCAGATGGTTTTAAAAAGATACTAAACTTTATTAAAAAAGATACTACTCACATTTCATAGATAAAAGTAAGTTTCTGATAAAACAACTTGGGTATTGCTTTCCAACCATCCAATGGTTTGTACATCATCATTGGATTTAAAATGAAGAAAACATCAATAGGATTTGAGAATACTTCACGACTGCCAAAACTACATCAGAAGTCCTGCATATGTGTTCCCCATTTGCTCAGTCCTAAAGGGAAATCAGCTATGGCAAACCTTAAAATGTAGGTGAATCCTCATTAGAGTCAAGCTTGGGCTCGCTATGGCCCAGTGCCACCAGTAATATTATTCATCTCAGTCCGGCATTAATTTGGTTTCATTAATCCATTGACAGGCAGCCCTGTTAGTCTAATTTCTTTGTAAGTACCACCAATTATCAGTGACCAAAACAGCCCTCCCTGCTGCCTTAACATACCTGGTGCAGATACAGTTGGTGATGAGCCACTCCGTATCAGGAGCACCAGCCATGTTCATGTCAGAACCCCAGTCAACTTAAAGAGTCCTCATGCAATGCACAGTGAGGATCTCAGAAGTGTCTTTTCACAAATGCAAGTTAGCAGTGCTTTCCATAGATATTGTGTATGATCATATGCCTGAGCATTCCACTTATCACAACATTGTGCAGGCTTTTAATTTGCAATGAATGGATATTGCAGCATGGTATGGAGATGCTGTTTAGTGAAGATGAGACTGGTACGTATGAGGCTTAGCAGGGCGCTGCCTAAAACTGGTGACCTTAAATGAGAATTATGAGGCGAGTGCTTTTCACTCAGCCTCATAATCTGAGCCGACCTGTGACAATGAAACTGTCATAGGTCGTCTAAGTAGATCGGGAAGTGAGCGAACACATACCGTCGCTCGCTCACTTCTCGATCTATCTCTGCAGAGACCGTGACTGTCACTCACGGCTCCCTGCAGTCATTCCCCCCTCCCCTGTCCGATCCTTCAGTGCTGACTGGCGGAACGGACGGAGGAGGGGTCGGGTACAGCTGGCTCTGTCTCTATATAGGCAGAGCCAGCTGTCAATCCCGCAGCTGGGTGAATCCAGACAGATCTGCAGCTCGCGGTATACTGAGCTTTGGGTGACGGGAGGACTTTAGTTTGTGTCCTCCCGTGACCCTTAGGAGAACAATGGGGAAAAGCACTGACCCCATAGTTCTCCTTTAAAGGGGTTCTAAAACCTCCCGTTTTTTTGCCTATATCTACTGCTATCAAGCAGTAGATATAGGCAAACAGTTTAAAAAAAAAAAAAACCCGCTAAAACAGCAGTTTAAACTTACCTTTTTTTCTTTGCGCTCTCCAGCCTGAAAAAATTAAACTGTTCGGGCGGCCGCAAAGCATCCTGGGAAGGGCGCATGCACAGTTCGGATTCTCGGCCGGGAGACGAGCAGAGACGCAAGGTAAGTGTATGGACGCTTGCACCCGCATGCAGACACCGCTGGATCGGAGAGACAGAGCAGTAAGCGCTGGATCGGAGGGCCGCCGCACCGCTGGAGGGACAGATGAAAACATCAGGAAAGAAGAAGATCGGAATAAGAGACATCATTTAAGGTAAGTGCTAACATTAACATGGGGGGAGGGGGGGGAAATTTGACTTTAATGTCACTTTAAGAGTTCAAGTTGGAATCTGATTTTTAGCTGTGGTGCAGTTTGGTTAATTTTTCTATTTAAAGGGTATTTCCTGTTTCTTAGGCGTAAGATAAATAATCTCATCAGTGAACATTAATGTTTTGGGAGCCATGTGTCTGTGTATAGTTGATAACTATATATGCAGATGGGGAGCTGTATACAGTATGTTCATGCTTTCTGTTTTGATCCTCGCTGATTCTCTTTTCTCACTGTGCACATACCAGACAGGGTCTGTCTTATTAAAACAAACAATACAAAACTTTTTACAGCATACTTACCTGCAAACCAAAACATAAACTATTTACACTCATCTAACATTTTGGTTTAAAAACAATGAAAATACGTGGAAACAGTACTGCCTTCTTTATAGTGTTGTCCCTAACTCTAATCTATGAGAGCCTCCATATGGACCAAATATATCGATGAATAAATTGAAGGCATGTATGTCTGAAGGTAGCAAATTCCTCCTTAAAGGTACAGTGACACACCAGTAGTCCAGCACCGCACACTATCCAGTGTATCCCCATGCCAAATCTAGAAAACGGAAACAAAAATGGCAACTGCTCCAGTCAAATTATAGTTAGCTTTTTAAAGTAAGGGACACATGGAAAGGGTTTTTCACAAAACAAGCAATACAAACATTTCGCAGCACACTTGCCAGCAAATAAAGAAAATGACACTGTCTAACAATTTGTGTTTAAAAACAGAGGTTAACCTCATCAAAACCAGCTATGTGCAGTCTCATAATTCCAAGAAACACCCACATTGTACTCAGTAGCCAAAAACTAACTGATATGAATTGCCAAGACTAGTTCTTTTATGCTTTTACTCACATGGAGAAAGATTTTATTTTAATGTATTTTTTATAAAATACAAATACCGTATATACTCGAGTATAAGCCGAGTTTTTCAGCCCATTTTGTTGGCTGAAAAGTGCCCCCCTCGGCTTATACTCAAGTCAGCGTCTCGAGCTAGTGTGATTTTGTCATGTTGACATGCCTCTATCGTCAAGTGTAAGTTTTAAGAATTCCGCTTTAGGCTTACCTATAGTGATAATTATTTGCACCTTTATTTTAACATTCGCCCTGCATGATATCATCAGCTAAAAGTTAAAAACAAGACCTCCTAAAAGTATATATATGCAAATCCCATTGTTTGCATGCAACTTACACATTGCCCTGAACTCAGACCCTCATATATTGCGTTATGCATACAACAGGTCATAACATAAAATTGTAAGACTAGAATTGGTTGTAATTGCTGTGGCTCTATAAATAAATGTGGCTGAAGCATGTTATCCTGATATTGAAAATACAGAAGATGCTACTTTTGATTCCTTCAAAATCTCCATAAAATGAATCAAACTTTTTTGACTTCTTTTAGTTTTACTAGTACTGATTGTTTTATTTATTAAGTGATGGCCCGGAATGACCTTTTAATAACTAATACTGATGTTTGACGTTTTATTTTTTTCAGAGACCCAATTCAATCATGATTGCCTTGGTGATGCTTTTAAATGTTGGGCTAGCTATACTTTTTGTCCATTTTCTTACCTGATTGCTGCTGGTACAGGTATGATTTATATTTTTTTAGTTACATAAGTTATAATTCTCTTTTCGCCTGTATTCAGGTTATCTTATTTATTTTACTTAGTGTGAAATACTGTTTATATGTCGTTACAAACAATGTGCAGTATCCAATGGGAAATATCCTTTCAGCAGTTTAGCTAGAGTACACTAATGAGTGCTGAATTACACAAAAGTGTAAAGCTAGATCTGTTTAAGGGCCAGTTCCCCCAGTGTTATATTTCAGGTTTTGGTAGATGCTGGAATATTAAACCACCCCAATAGATTATTACATCTCTTGCATGCACCAGTGAGGAGATCTCTACACTTAGGGTCCCAAATCTGCACCTTTGTCGCTGGGACAAAAGATTCCAGGGGAAATTGGTTACACCGATATCTACTTATAACTAAAACATTACCTTTGAGTGGACTGATCCTTCAAAGATTTGGCCATCCAGTGCTTAATCAAGGGGACTGGTCAGATAAACCTGTCAAATAGCTACACTGGTAAGACTCAAGAGATGACTGCACATGGCACATATTGTACATTGTTTGGTCTTTTAAGCACCCTGGAATCCCTGAACATAGATTTTTAATATGAAAGTTCTAAATTTCAACGTTGAATTTAGTGCTTGGCAACCCTCTTCATGCGCCTCCGACTTCAGAGGTGAATGTTGCATGTTGAGCAACCATAGTTTGGAGGCTCCTGCGGCTCTCTATAGACAGCCAGTGGCCACTGGCTTTTTAATAAAATGCATCTCTAATGCTGCAAAATGATATGATCAGTGACAAGGAGAACTCTACATGTATACCATACATGTAGATCTGGACCAGGATTCACCTAAATCCTGGTCCAGATCACTTGGCTCACTATTTAACATACTGCATGCTAAGAGCGCAATAAAGCTCACATCATAGGCTTCTCTATGGCTCTTCTGTGTAGGGTGGCTTACTCCTTCCTCTCAGAGAGCAGCCTCCGATGTGAACTAGTTGTCTAATCCCATTATTTTCAGTGGAGTCTAAGTGACTAACAGATTGGCTTGGCCTTCCAGGGATAATGTTCAGCAAGTTAGTACAGTGTAAAGTTGGGTTGTCATATTAGCTTCTTACTTACAGACAATCTGTTATATGGCTTCTTTGGTTTATGACATTCATGAAGTGCGTGCCAGTAGATGAGTAATCCTGTTGTAGAAGAATAGCTTTCCTATCAGTGATGTTATATTTGTGGAGCATTATAACTGTGCTCCTCACAAGAGCTGCACCACTACTGCTTACTAGCCCTGTAACTAAACATAGATACTAATGCAACAAAACTGTTGGAAAATGAAAATATTTATTAATGTTCAGGAAATCTGAGTAATAATGTACAACCGATAAAAAAAAACACTTGAAAACAGAACCCATAGAATTTCAGAGAGATACCCTTCTTAGATATACACAATATGTAAAAAAAATACAACATTTTATAAAAATGTATCATCAAGACAATATGTATTGCGGTATCTTTTATTAGGATAAAATTCCCTGTCGATACTTAAAGAGCACATACCGCAGATGGACCTGCTTAGCCATGATGGTCTACATGTACTGGTGACAGATTGCCCTGGGACTTTATCAATACTTAAAGGGTTAATAAACCCTAAAAAAATCTACTAGCAAGCAGTTGCTATATGCAAAAAAATTTTTTTAAAACCTTTTGACAAAAACCTCTTGGGGAGGGCGCATGCGCAGTTCAGATGTTCGGCCGGGAGACGAGGAGAGACACAAGGTAAGCATATGGAGCAGCGTGCACCCGCACAGACACCGTAGGACATCCGAGAAGAGGAGTCAGCGCTGGATCGGAGACCCGCACCAGCGCTGGAGGGCAGCTGAAAAGGACAGTAAAGGAGAAGATCAAATAAAGAGGCGTGATTCAAGGTAAGTCCTTACACTAACATTGGGTGGAGGAAAATAAATAGCTTTTAATGTCACTTTAATATACATTTTGATTAAGAAAAAAAGTGTGCTCTTACAAGTGGGCGTGGTTGGAGATGGGGTGTTGATATGCGTGGCAGTGACTGGTCATTACTGCCACTACTGCACCATCAGCGAGATTCCATGCATGAGTGATAGTGGCGGTGCAGACCACTCACTACCTCGCATAAGCAGGATATTGCTGCCTTATTTCTGACATCACAGTATGGTGGCAGTGTTGCACACAAGTGCAGTAGCTACCTCGGTGCCTATGTTCTACGGCACATGCTTGGTATACCACTGGCATATTGCTTTTTATCACAGCTCCCTGCTACTACACATGCATTGGCATTGGCAAATGGCAGCGATGGACATAGATTACGGCACATGCGTGGGAAACAGGGCAATGCTGTGCAATTAAATAATTGTAGTAATAGAACATTTTTTTTAATTAAATGAAACTGACTAAAAAACTATCCTATGTTATTTATTATTAACCTGAAGCCTGCATTTCAACATGAAACGAATGAGAAAACAAAAAATACTTCCTGTATTCTTCTTTTATAATGACTACAGGCTGGGACTATTTATACTTTGTTTTGTTTTTGGATTGGTGGTTGGTTAAATATATTTAAGCGATAAACCACCTCCCTACAGCCGTATTGTATGGCAGTATTGTATGGGTGTATCTTTAAACAACACTGCAGAAATAAGGCATGGGCAGCCAGTGTACCCATTACATGTCTGTGATCAAGCTGTCATTACACATTCCAGATCACAGGCAAAAGCCACAGAGCCAATCCAAGTGGCACTGAGCACTGTGCCTATGATCACTGTGATTGCCAATCCTAAGTAGGTGCTCTTTTTTACTTGACTATGCCATACTATAATTCCTATAAATAGACTGTTGTGTATGTGTAAGGAGGTTATTCTACTCATAACTGCTGTCACTACCTTATTCTAGGCACAAAAAGGTTTCAGTGTTTGCTTTCATCCTTGACACAGCATTTGCTTTGTGTCCCCCTGTTTTAAGTGGCACATGAGCATCTTGAAATCATTTCCTTTAAAGCCTTCAGTGTGTTTAAAGGAAAAGGTTCACTGTAGATACAATATATGGTTAAAAGTATGTGGACAACCCTCCAAATTATTGCATTCAAGTGCACAAGGCCAAGTCCACGAAGATATGATTTGATGAGTTTGGTGTGGAGAAACACAAATGATACCCAGCCAGTCATATGGTACACTGTTGGGATACATTGGAATGCTGATTGTGAGCCAGGCCTCTTGTCCAACATAAGTACCTGACCTCACAAATGCTATCTTGACTGAATGAGCTCACATTTCCACAGATACACTACAGAATCTTGTGGAATGCCTTACCAGAGAAGTGAAGGCTGTTATAGCGTCAAAAAAAGACCAATTCTATTTTAATGTCAATGGTTTTGTAATTGGATTACCAAACAACTAATATAATTATGATCATCCATTTTCCATAAACTTTCGCCCATATCATTTCTATTTTACCAACTTTTCCTCATCACTTATACATACAGATTGTTAACAGAGTCTTCCATTTTCTGAAACTTCCTAACCTTTGCTCTTATCTTTGCAGTAACGTTCGGATCACCGGAGATGTTGGCGCACAATTCCTGTTGTTTGTGTCATAAGCTGTTTTTATGGCACTTGTCATATACAGAGACAGGAATGAGAAAGCTTGGGTTTCAGCTTGACAAGAGAGATAGTTGAAACTTTAAAACAAAAAATGTACATGTCTAAGCCTGTGGGCGTCTCTGATCTCTGGGTAGTGATTCTTGGGCGCCACAGAACGAGGAGATCAGATGCCATGTTTGAAGACACAAATCTGCTGAAACAGCCTAGTCAGTGAAGATGGCCGCTGTACCTGTCCCAGCAGAGTGTGATTGAACTGGAAATGTACAGAGCAGCACTTTCTGTTGACGGAAGCTAACAGCTGCCTTACTATTTTACTGTCCTGACGTTTATAGAGTGGAGATAGAAGAGTCAGTGCCAGCAGAATGTGCTCAGAGGATTCAGTTGCTGTGGATGCAGTTCCAAAGTTTGCTTCTATCTCCGAAGAAATAGTTAGCAGCATCACTCACCAGTCTTATTCCATTACCGGCTGCTTTTAACATCTCCTGCAGGGTTTTGGAAGATAGTGTTTAATTTGCTTGTGCTTGAAGGCTAATTTCTCTGTTCTAGTAGACCTTTATGGATAGCCATAATTGTTCTACCTTATTACAGGGTTAACAGAAAACGTTGCACTGAGTTATATGTGGAATTGAACAATTGTTAAACAATTAACATTTTTTATCAAATCTTTATCTTGTATTCATAAGATAAAATAAACCTGTCACAAACCTGGGCAATTCAAACACACAATAGGATAAAAAAAAAATCATAAGCAGAGGTTACCTTCAAGGATAATGCCACAATGGTAAGTAGGTTATTTCTCCAGTAATAGCTTTGCTTTGTCCCAACCAACCCACCTCCCAAGCTTACTTATTGGTCAGTGAAGCCGCCCATCGCTAGGGTGAGCAATAGGGAGGCAAGAAGGTGCAGGGCCCAAACTCTACTGCTATCAAAAAAAAAAGTCAACCATAACTAGGTAAGATACAGGAAGACACCCATTATAAAGTCATGTACTTTCCACTAGCCGTATTTCTGGGTCTGCTAATTGTTTGTCACTAAACGTAACCACTGCTTATACATTTTTCTATCATATGCTCTGTTTGAATTCCAACGTGACTGTGACAGGTTTACATAATTGAATCAGTTGTTTGAACATTGAAGGAATCCATTTTGTTAGTTGAGTTATTTAACTGAATTAGCGTTCTAGGAACATACAGCCAATTATTTGTTAGTTATTAAAGAACTGTGCACCGTCATCCAGACCGCTCATATAACATAACCTCAGTGCAGTGAAAAACACTAAACTGTGTATGAGATCCTCATACCTCTGACAGCCATGGCGCATCTAAAAGCATTCAAAAAAGGAGGTTTGTGTGGCCATTGTACTCCTCAGCATGTTGTTTCTGATGTATAACCAGGAAAAAAAAATCAGTTTCCATGATGCAGTATGGATATATAGGTCAAAATACCTATATCTGCAAAAAATGTGAGCTGTAAACAGAAATACATAAACAAAAGTTGCCCATTGTTATATCTTAAGTGCCATTTTAATGCTTTGTGAACCTAAAAATGACGGCTGGAAGTACACAAACTAGCGCCCTCCCGTCACCCTAGGCTCAGTATACCGCAAGCTGTAGCTCGCGGTATACTGAGACGCCGCAGCTGAAGCGGATCCCGACAATTATGTCTGAATCTGCCCAGCTGCGTGAGTGACAGCTGGCTCTGCCTATCTAGAGGCAGAGCCAGCTGTACCCGCCCCCTCCCCGTCCGTTCCGCCAGTCAGTGCTGGCGGATCGGAGCGGGGAGGGGGGAATCCAGCCCCTCCCCTGTCATGGCAGAGAGCCGTGACAGGATCGAGAGGTGAGCGAACGCCGGTATGTGTTCGCTCACCTCCCGATCTACTAAGCCGACCTGTGACAGTCTCTTGGCACTTTTTTGGCACTTTTGTATAATTGGTCTTTAAAGTGTACAGGTTGGTCATGTGGAATGTTTTCATGGCTGGAGCAATATTTCAGATATGGCAACCTATCATTTTATTAATATTTCATCACACAATATTATAAACAAGGTCCTTTCCCTAAATGGCCTACTCTTTGTTCACCGCAATGTCTGCCTTCCCAGTGTATCCAAAACTAGTAGCCTTTAAAGAGACACGGTCACATTGCCCATGCAGGGCAAATCAATACTGTGTTTGTAAAGGGCCCCCCAACCGCCCTATACTTACCTTACCAGCACTCTCTTCCAGCCCCTGCTGCAGCTTGCACGGAAATTCAAGGTACCAGCTCGTGTCGGATGGTAAGGGGAGTGGTCACTCCTCTGGCCAATGTCACATGGCAGAAGGTTGCATGCTCCCCTATACCCAGAAGCACCCTTTATTGTCAATGGCCGTGATGGAGGCCAGAGTGGCATGGAAGTACTGGTAAGGTAAGTATACACGTATCTGTTTGGGGGAGGGCACTTTACAAAAACACCTGTCACCTGCCCTAAATAGGCAAGGTGACAGTGTCTCTTTAAAGCAGTGTAGGCCTCATCAGAGCATCTAAATGGTGTGTTGGCTTAACAACCAATTAAGCTCAAACTACAAGTTCCACTGCAGATAAGAAAAATAAAATAAAAATATCACGTGTCTTTTTTCAAAGCCCTTTAACACCGGATCCATTGCGTTGTGATACGTTGCGTTTGGTTGCTTTGCGTTGCAATACGTTTTTAAACCGATGCTAACGGAAGGGCACTGAAAAATGAATGGATGTGAATAGGGCTAGTTCACACCGCTCCATTCTATTGCTTTACGTTACGTTGCACTGAAAAAAAGTAGAACATGCACTTCTTTTTTACTGTGCAAAGTAACGCAACAGATCCAGTGTGAACAGGCCCTATTCACACCTATTCATTTTTCAATGCCCTTCCGTTAGCATCCGTTGAAACACAGATCGCAAGGGATCGAAAGGAAATCTGAAGGTACAGTTGCAAGTCAACGGACCCTCCATTGACTTGAGATTTGCTTCTGATTTTGGTGTGAATGGGCCATCAGTGTTATCCATACTAAATCTAAGGCAACATGCTCAGAATAGTTTTAGGCTACAAAATGGATCCCTCCATGCATATGTTTTACAGTTTATCGGCTTATTAAAATTGTTGTGCTTTCATTTATTTTCTGGTAGTATAGGAGAACACATTTTTTCACAATGTATTTTTGCTAGTGTTAGTTACTGTTTTAATTTTATGTACATATGGATATGTGCATAAGGGCTGGACAAATCACAGGAACCATAGATGCTTAATATCTAACTTATACTGCTATTATAAATATATTTCAGGAAAATATTTTCTTTTATGGCAGCATTTCCCTTCTGACTGATGATCTGTAATACCAGATGTGGTTCTGAGACTGTGCTCTTCTTTGTTAGTCCCTGCAATGTAATATATTTATTTGGTAGAATATTATTTTGGATGCATTGCATGTTGAATACATGATTTTTGTGGCAGTTGATATACACAGGGATAGTTTTTGATGTATATTAGTGTAGTCCAGTTAATAAATTAAACCCCCACATTAATTCTTAAAGATTGACAAACAAAATTGCTTACCTCCTGGAATCTGGCCATTTGTATGCATAAAATATATAATGAATTACATTGACGCCCATTAACCCTCAGTAAAACCCAAAGAAACTTTGTATTTTAATAAATGACTACTATTTTGAATGTCGGGAGATTGAAATTTGTATTAAGTAATTTTCGCTATAGACAAAAGTAGCAATAATATTACTCTAGGCACATTTTGCACAAAGTAAAGGATACAATAATTTTTAGCGGATGTCTGCCCATTTTCTTATATTTGTCTAGATGGGGAAAGCTTAGCACCTCTGTCTGATTTTTATTGTTTTTTGGGAGTGGTAAAAGTAAAAGCCTTTATTAACTTTCCCCATTCTATCCAAAACCAAATGTTTTTTTGCTGGAGTCCAATTTGAAATTCATTAGGAGGTAATTTGTAAAGCTGAATGTTTGCTGTTTTACACTTGATGCTACAGCTGATTTTACCACTCGCTCTTTCTAATAAAGCAACAATCTGTTCTTTGTATTGGCAGATAAACTGGTAGTCTAAGCTGGTGGGCAAGAGGCAATGGCATAAAAAAGCTGCACAATCCAAACAACTCATGCACAAATACGTTGGGCTTGCACATGTTGCTTCTAGATTCATAATTGGGAAAAACACACATGTTGAAAAATTATAGCTTCATTTATAGCTAGAAAAAAACTCAACTGAGCACTGTTTGCACCCAAGCTAGCTACATTGGAAATACAATGAGTTTGTGAAAATACAATTTTAGAAAAAACAGAAACATTTTCTATGAATGAATACAATGTTTATTGGGCTCCATCCCTCTAACAGTTAAGCACAAGTAGGGGGAAAAAATGCGGACTTGTATGTGGCTATGGATAGATAGAAAGTCCCTCCTCACAACGCTCCCGGCCTGTACAACAATGGTACTCGCAGTGATGACCACGGATGGTGCCGTCCAGACACAAGGTAGAAGACAAGAATCACCAGCACTCAGTAATATCATTCAATATGTCCACATGTGTCACATCTTTTCGCCCCCATTGAAGGGACCCTGTGTGGCCCCGAAACGTTGGCTTTTTTCATTGTGACGACTTGTCCAAATGGACATATTGAATGATATTGCTGAGTGCTAGTGATTCCTGTCTTCTACCCTGTATGTGGCTATGTCTCCTCCTCAGAATGTTGAAGGTGAGTTGGTGCAAACCTAGGAGATAGAGAGACTAGAGGTCTACTTTACAGGAAACCAACTTTTTATGGAAAAAAACATGGTGCTGCTATTGCTGACCTCTTGTTTAAAATAATGCTAGTTCCCTCACTTCATTGTTGACCCTTTTCATGTAATACTTCAGGACATTGACCTGGAACAGGTATTCAGATAATGAACACTTTTTTTGTATGTGACATTAAACTGAAAAAGTATTAAAGTGGGTTAGCACAGTAGCCAGGCAACTAGCCCCTGTATGTCGCTCATGCCAGATTTTCTTTAAAGGACAATTAATGCCAGTTAATAGGTCTAGTAATATATTTAGCACCTACAGGTGAAACTCAAATAATTAGAATATCGTGCAAAGTTCATTTATTTCACTAATGCAACTTAAAAGGTGAAACTAATATATGAGATAGACTCATTACATGCAAAGCAAGATAATTCAAGCCGTGATTTGTCATAATTGTGATGATTATGGCTTACAGCTCATGAAAACCCCAAGAACCCCAAATCCACAACCTCAAAAAAGTAGATTATTACATGCAATCAATCAAACAAGGATTGTACATAGAACAATATCGGACCTCTGAAAAGTACAAGCATGCATATGTACTCAGTACTTGGTTTGGGCCCCTTTTGCAGAACTTACTGCAATTACTTTTGCACGATATTCTAATTATTCGAGTTTCACCTGTATATATACAGTGTGTATGTATGCGGATAGATATATATATAGATATATTGCTCTTGCATTTTTTTTCCTTTTTTATAATAGGTATTTTAAATCCTCTGAACTGTTTCTGATTGGTTCCCCTTTGTTTTTATTTTAAAACAGAACTATTGAAAGT